AGAAAGAACAAACCAGACACTGGAACAATATATCTGTTGTTTTACATCATTTTCTCAGGATGACTGGGTGACATTGTGGCCTTTGGCCAAATTTGCCTATAACAATTCTAAGCACTCAGCTACAAAGCAATCTCCATTCTTCTCAAACTAAGGATCCCATCCGTCATTCTTATCCAACACATTGCCTGAATCATCGATCCCAGCAGAACAGAATACCTTTGGTTTCCTGCAACGGAACAACAAACTACTAGGCAATCCTGAAGGCCCAACAAGATAATAAAACATTTTTTGATAAGAAAAGAAGGGGGGCCTGATCCTAGAGACTGGTGAAGAGGTATGGCTGTCTACAACAAATTTAAGATTGACATGTGCCTCAAGGAAAATCGGCCCCAAATTCTTGGGACCTTTCCCAGTAAAGAAGAGGATAAACAACGTATCGTACAAACTCACTTTGCCTGAAACACCGAACATACATCAGGTATTTCATGTATCATTGTTCAAACCCTCAGTACCTAATCCTTTTCCAGACCGGAAATCAAAGCCACTTGAATCTATTATCATCAATGGCGAAAGAGAATATGAGGTGGAAACAATCATTGATTGCAGAAAGAGAAGGAATCAACTCCAATATCTGATTAAATGGAAGCGATATGGACCTGAAAAATAATTCTTGGGAGCCAGCATCCAATGTTCACACCAGAGATGTTCCCTGAGATGTTCATAGCTTGGAATATTTTTTCTATAACCTAACCCTGCTATAAACTCCACAACTTTATCCCTAACCTGTCTGGTGTGTTCCTTGGCCTTCATAATGCTGTTAGTTCACTAATGTTCTCTAACAAACCTCTGAGGGCTTCACAGAACAACTGTATTTATAGATTAAATTACATACAAGTGCACTCTATTTACTAATTAGGTAACTTCTGAAGGCAATTGGTTCCACTAGATTTTAGTTAGGGGTATCAGATTAAAGGGGGGCTGAATACAAATGCAAGCCTCACTTTTCAAATATTTGTAAAAAATTTTGAAAGCCATTTATCATTTTCCTTCCACTTCACAATTATGTGCCACTTTGTGTTGGTCTATCACATAAAATCCCAATAAAATTAGTTTACGTTTTTGGTTGTAACATGACAAAATGTGGAAAATTTTAAGGGGTATGAATACTTTTTCAAGGCACTGTAGCGCTGTCAATTTACGCAGCGCTTTACTTATACATTCACTTCAGTCCCTAATCCTCAAGAGGTGTACAATCTAAAGTCCCTAATTCACATTCATACATACACATACTAAGGCCAATTTAGATCCAATTAACCTACAACATGTCTTTGGAGTGTTGGAGGAAATCGGAGTACCCGGAGGAAACACACGCAGGCATAGGGAGAAAATGCAAACTCCAGGAAGGTGGTGCCATGGTTGGGATTCAAACCGACAATCCTAGTACTCTCAGGTGGAAGAGCTAACCATTTAGCCACTGTGCTGCCCATATATATAATTACCCGCCAGTGGAGCTCACCACAAGAAGAAACTTCCTTCCCTCTGAATATATGAACATGTTCCACAGAGTCCAAGTTTTGGAGTAGACCTCATGTTTATATTGGTGTGACAGCACAAGGTCTTCCATTTGGTTTAATTCCTCTACTTTGTGCAGTCATAGCCCATTGGATGGGGGCTGCAGATCTCTCCATCTCAAAGAGATACAGGTCTTGGCAGCATTCAAAAGATGACGCAAAACTGATTGTTTGTAGATTTTGGACAGTATATTGGTAAAATATAAAAGGAAAACCGCATAATCTGTGAATTTTTGCCCTATTCGATGGACCTCTTTCCAATAATGTGCGAACTTAGGACAGGACCGGAACACGTGTAAGAGTGTTCCCCTCTCCTCCTGGCACCACCGGTATCTGCCTGAGATAGTTGGAAAGAACCTGTGAAAGACTGAAGGGGTTCTGTACCAACGTGCCAAGATCTTGAAGTTATTTTCTTGGAGTCTTGTGCAAAGAGGAAATTTCAGGAAAATCGGACCATATTGTTTTTTGTGATTCTGTAATGATCCTCTCCAGGTCTGCCTCCCATTTTGTGAGGTATGGTAGGGAGAAGTTCTTGGGAGATAGGAGGACCAATTTGGAGAGTGCATGAGGGAGTGCGCCCTCATCCACATTCATCCAAAGTGGTTAATACATGTTGAGAATTACTTGGAGGAGGGGAGTGAACAGAGAAACTGGTGAATTTAAGGAGCCCTCTAGAAATCCAGCAGAATCGCGGTTTTCCTCCTTGCTCTATTTTCTTGAGCAGACGAGGTTGTATTTGCACAGGAGGGAGGGTGTAAATTAGCCTGAACTGAGACCAGGTGATTATGAAGGCACCTGAGACTAGAGCTAGAGGATCATTCGCTCTGGCAACAAATAAAGGTAGTTTGTTGTTGAATCTGGAGACTAAGATATCCACATCCAGAATCCCCCATTTTTGGCATATTAGATTGAAGACTTCTGGATGACAAGCCTAATCCCCTTGATTCAGATGACGATTGAGATAATCCACTTTGTAGCTGTCCACCCATAGGATGTGGACCGCAGACATTGCAGCAAAGTGAGTTGCTACACAGTGAAATTATCTGTTACTGACTCCTCCACGGTCTGAGACACTTGTGCCTGTTGTGAATACTTTCAAGTGATAGGAAAGGAAAGACTTCCCCGCTGTTAGGGCAGAGGTGGTGATTCACTAAGATAGGAAATTCCTTGCTTGGCTGGACCTACTTTGCAGATTCCATGTAAATTTTTCGAATTTGAAGGAATTGTTTTAGGAATATTAAGCCCGGAAGAGGACAAATACCACCATAGGACTTTGGTACTGTGAACAAGTTTGTGTACAATTCTTTGAACCTATCTCGTGGCAGTACTGGCACAAAAACTTCCTGGGACAAGAGGTAGTTCAAGGCTTTTTGTACCTAACTGTCCTTTGGCAGTTCTTTGTTAATTTTAAAGAGTCTGTGACCCAGAGAGAGGCAAACTGTAACAAATGTCCACTCACTTTTAGAAGTAAGGGTACCTCTTCATTGTGAAGAGGGTTTTGGGAATGGTTTAGTGGCCTGTTGAAGCCTGATTAGAAAAGACAGGTGTTTGTGTTTAAATGAGACAGGATCTCCCCTGAAGAGGGTGGATTTGGGACCTACCACTATGAAAGTAAAACCTTCCAACCTGTGACCTCTTCAATTAATTGGTCAAGGGACTCCCCAAACTAATGTCTTCCTTGGAAAAGCATATGTGTGAGAAGACTTTTGCAGGCAGCTTTAGCTGTCCAACCTTTTAGCCAGAAGATTCTGTGCATGTGAATGAAGATTAGTGCCATTCTGGAAATTTGTCTTTGACTAGATGTTCTAGGTCATCTACACAGAAAAGTAGAGCAGAAGGCAATTGCTGTAATTGCTGTGTAACAAAACAAACCTGAGATACAGGGTCATGTTGGTTATTCAGTCAGCTGCAGTTTGACATACTGAAATCGCAGCAAGAGTTGGTGGCAGGGCTGGGTCAGCTAGATTAAAGAGAGCTTTTATCTCAAACTATGTCCAGGTGCCTAGACAGAGAAGGCTGTGTCTGAGGAAATGTGACATAGATGCAGAGAATTTTGCTTTAGTCAAATAGGGCACAGGATATGTGTCAGAAATAGGTTGAGTGTTGTGTGGGACTTTGAAAAAGGGAATGTTTGCCTGTGATTTTGCATTGGTTCCTTTGTCTCCACTCTCCACCATAGGTACAAATGAGGGTGTTAACCTTTGTGGTACACACAAAATAGGTGCAGAGTATAGGGTAAGAAGGTCTGTAAGGACTATATGGTAACCAAGGTGTAGATCATCCTATAACAAATTCTCGTGGCCTAAGAGCTGTAGGCTGAAGTGGTATTAATGTATGCAACCAGTGGTGTGATGCAACACCTGATCATCCCTGAGATTGAGCTGAGTGGCTGAATTTTAGCACCAAGTTTAGAAATGTTACAAAGTGAGGTGAATATAAACCAACCATACAGGAGCCCCATTTTAACAGTAACAGTCAGAGATATGGGATGACCCTGTCTTACCTGTCCAAGATGCTAGACATTAGAACAAAGTGAAGAGTCGGCTTAATTGAAGAGTCAGAATAAAAATAATAAAGAAAAAATAATAAAACTAGTTAGGCCAAGAGTGTTTTTTTCCTGTGAAGGAGAAGAGGTTCATCACCAGAACAAGGACAAAACCGAGGACTCTTGGAGTAAGGTAGGGTTATAGAAGTGATGCTCAGGGGATATATACTCTAAAATGCTTCCAGTGTCCAATCACCTGAAGGTACATGACTATTACCCAGGTTGTATAAATATTGTCCTGTACTGCATGATTAAAATGGTTGTATAAACCTTACATATACCCACTGAAGTAAGTAACCTCAGGTGATACACAAAGATGATACAAATTCTCCCAAATATGTTGTACTTGTTAATCTGCAGCCAACTTGCCTCTACAGTAGTTCAAAATACAAGGAATCTGGGTGTATTCTGAAATCTGAGTTGAGGGAATGGATACACTACTTCCTCTACAAAGTCTCATAGGGAAACATGCATAGCTGAGGCTGTCAATCATATACTGTGTGTGCTGGGAAAGGTGAGCATCTCCTGGGATTTCAGGTGGAAAAATTAGAAATGACTCAGGCAAATAGCAGGGAAGGAGAAATCAAAAAGGAATCACACTAGGTACTTGGATTGAGGCAAGTACACATGACAAAAAGTGTACACACTACTGAGGTGAAGTGACAGACACCATGACACCAGCCCTAACAGATAGACACCATGACACCATGACCGCCACTGGCACTGATGAGAAATGAAAAACACCATAACCCCAGATCTGATAGACAAATACCGTGACAGCATCACTGATACACAAACACTGTCCAAATAATATTAAAGAGCATGGGGTGGCTGTGATTACCTATCCACCCCAGTCTGTTATGCCGATTACACTGATAAATGACAGACTTTATTTGCAATCTCTTTACCCGAATGTACTGGAATTCTTCCACTGGTGAATATCCTCCACTACTGCCAAACGGATTGTTTTTCCGGGTGATGAGCAGCAGTTTATTCCTGATGGCCGCTACAATTCTGAGCTCCTGGCTGTGATGTGTGTTAATGGCATACAGATGACATCCTGTGTAAGAACAGACTTGTATTAGAAATGGTAAAGGTCAGTAAAGGATGTAATTTGCGTCATCACTGGATAAATCACAAACAGCATCTGCATAAACTTTCACACTGCAGCTCATGCTTCTGCAATCAGTAATGTGAAAGACTGCAGATTGGATACATACAAATCTCTCTATTTGAAGAATGTGGAGACTGTATAGAGGGAAACACAGACCTCTGTTGATTTACCTTTTGTTTTCTCTAGTTTGTTTTCCCGGCATTCATACTTGTTTCTGGGGATTTGTTTGTCTTCTAGTCCTTTCCTTATGGCACTGAGACGGAACACATAGAGTCGTGCATCCTTTCCTAGTAGGAGAAAAAAACAAAGCAGAAACAACTGAAAATCTGTGAGATGCAGATATGTATCCAAGTTTCAAACCGTCATATAAGAACAGACAAACCTCTAATAATCAGGCCATTTTTGTACTCACTGTAAAATCCTTTTCTGGAGTCCATTGAGGGACACAGGAAGTCTTTCCCCTCTGGATTATACTGCCATCTACAGGGAGATTGTACACTGGCATAAACAAGTATGTAGGCCAGCCCAGGATATCCCCTCCTACTATAAGCATGCCTTAGTTTTGTAGCAAAGCAGTACAGAGAGCATGACCATAAAAAATGAGAGGTGAGATCTGCGTCCCTCAATTAATTCCAATAAAAGGATTTTATTGAGAATATAAAAATTCTATTTTCTTTCCCACCCATTGAGGGACACACTGAGGGACACAAGAAGCCTTTCACCTTAGGGGTGTCTGAAAGCCAAACTGAGGAGCAGACAACACAGCAAACAAAATGCTAGCAAACAGAAGAAAACAACAGAGAACTAGGGACTCAAAGAGCTGCCTGAAAGGCTGTTAAGGTACTTGCAAAATCTCTGCCAGGATTTCTGAGTTCTCTAAAACAACACTGGACATGTCCTCTGACTAAATTTTAAAGTGGATAGTGTTGTGTCTTATCTCCAGCTATCCTTTGTGTTGATACCTGTTGATTATCTTGACTACTCTCTTGCCTGCTGATTGCCCATGACCTCTGCTTGGACCTGACTACTCTTATGTCTCACTCTATCAAGTGTATAGTGTACAGCCTTATCCAAGTGAGAAACCAAAGGTCTCTGAAACAAGACAGAAAGAGCAAAAATCTGTCCCTTGAAAATGCTGAGAGCCAAGCACTTGTTCAGACCCAGCTAGAGGAAGGAAAGGATTCATTCTATGGATAAACAAGTAGGGTGGAAGATTTACACCAGGTGAAATATGCCTTCCACGTCTGATGACAGACCTTATGGGAAGCAGCATTCCTACCCTTTAGCATAATAAAAATCATAGGTTCAGAGATGCCCGTCTCTCAAAATTTGGGCTTCAACAGCCATGCCATTAAAGTCAGTGACCTTCCAGCAAGATGGTAAATTGACCCACCTTGAGGCAAAGATCCTGACAATCTGGTACAGCCCACAAAGCATCCACAAGGAGTCTTACCAAGTTGGCAAAACACATCCATTGGGGTCAGTCCAGAACAAAGAGGATCGCCAGAATCCTTTCATCTCCAGCCTGCAAAGCAGATGAGGAAGAAGTATCACAGGAGGGAAGGCATGTACCAATCCAATGGAGCCACCAGAGCATTCACTGCCATGGCTTTTTCTGGCTGAATCTGGATCACATTCCCTTTCAGTAGGATAGTCCAGTGCTACAGAGTCAGCCAAATTTCCCGCAGTTCCAAGTTGTTGATTCAGAGATGGGACTCCTTTGACAAACAAGTCCTCTGTGCTAAAAGGGTACACAGGACCCTTCCAGACTGGCAGGCTTGCATCTGTTGTGGGGATCTTCCAAAAAACAGGAATTAAGAAGTTCCCTGATTCCTGAGCCACCATTCCATGAATAACCTGGTCCTCTGTGCCAAATGAACCAATGTTTAAGTTGGTCTAATGATGATGCTTTGTGATAGCCCCTAATGTCAGCAAATCCCATTCCTCCTATTTTTTTGTGTTTGATTAATATATTATATTTTTTAAGCATAGATTGTAGTTTTTAGATGTGTTTGTTGTGTGTTTTTTTTAGTTTGTTGTTAGATATGAAGATTTAATTGGGATTGGAATTGATCTAAATAGATATAAAATCTTAACAATATGAACATTTTAAATGCGGTCAGTCTGCCAGACCAGGATAGTTCATGTTTAGCCATTTGATTAAGGTGGGTTTGAATTTTTGGAATTAATTTATAATAATGGAGAGTTCTTAGGTCAGAGGTTTTGTTTGTCAACAATATTCCAAAATAAGGAATGGCTTCATTTTCCCAGATGTAGGGAAATTTGTTTTGGAGGTGCATTTTTAGAATGTGATCTACACTTAGATTTAAGATATCAGATTTGGATGCATTTATTTTATAATATGAAATATTACTGAGAATTTGTTGAATTGCTGCTAAAGAAGTAGAGTGATTAGTTAGCATTAAAATGATGTCATCCGCAAAGAGCGTTATTTTGTGGTGGTTTTTACCTATATAGAAGCCGTGTATATCTGGATTGTTTCTTATAGTTTTAGCAAGAGGTTCAATTGATAGGTTAAAAATTAGTGGTGACAATGGGCATCCTTGTCTGGTACCATTCATAATTAGGAATGGTTTGGATAGCATGTTAGAGACATAGACTTGGGCAGAAGGATTTGAGTAAAGTGCTGAAATAGCATTAAAAATTGTTCCTGAAAATCCAAATTTATGCAGTACTTGGAACATGTATGTCCAGTGTATCCTATCAAAAGCCTTTTGGCGTCAAGAGCAAGTAATAAGGAGGGAATTTTATGTAAGTCTGCGTAATGAATTATGTTGATTAGTCTCCAGGTTGCGTCAGATGTTTGTCTACCATTAGTAAAGCCTAACTGATCAGGCTTGATCAAATCTGGGAGTATATATAATAGCTATAGTTTTAGCGTAGTTCTTAATATCAGTATTTAATAAAGAAATAGACCTGAAATTTTGTGGGTTATCTGGATCTCTACCTGATTTGGGGATTGTTACAATTAACGCTTGTAGCATTTCGGAAGGTAATGAGGCAGAAAAAATATTTATTATTATTTTAACATTTTATAGTATTCGCTGGAAAATCCATCTGGTCCCGGACTTTTGCCACTGGGTAGTTTTTCTATTGTTCTGTTTATTTCATTTATTGTGATAGGGGAGTTTAAGATACTTAGTTTCCGAAAGAGTGGGCAAGCGAATTTGTGATAAAAATGCTTGTATGGTTTACCATAGATGGTTGGAGAGTGGATTTGTCTTGATTTAGGTTATAAAGCGAATTGTAGTAACCAGCAAATGAATTTGCTATTTCTTGAGGATTAGTGATTTTAGTTTTATCTTTTGGGTTGATAAGATACGGTAATTTAGGTCTAGTATGCAGGGATTTCATTTTATTTGCTAGGTAATTCCCTGCTTTGTTTCCGTTAGAGTAGTAGTTGAGTTTTAATGGGACCCTTACTTTTTAATATAATTTATAAACGATATGGGGTTTGGGATTAAAAATCCCATTTCATTCTTTGCAGATGACACCAAACTGTGCAGTGGAATAACGTCCTTACAGGATGTCTTCAATTTACAAGCCGACCTCAGTGCACTGTTTAATTGGGCAACTATGTAGCAAATGAGGTTTAATGTTGATAAATGTAAGGTTATGCACTTGGGGGCTAAGAATATGCATGCATCATACATACTAGGAGAAGTACAACTGGGGGAATCAATGGTGGAGAAGGATCTGGGAGTTCTGGTAGATCACAAGCTTAATAATGGAATGCAATGCCAAGCTGAGGTTTCTAAAGCGAGCAAAATCCTCTCTTGTATTAAAAGAGGTATAGACTCCAGAGAGAGAGATATCATATTACCCCTGTACAAATCATTAGTAATACCTCATCTGGAACATGCAGTTCAGTTTTGGGCACCAATTCACAAAAAGAACATTGGGGAACTGGAGAAAGTACAGAGAAGGGCAACCAAACTGATAAGAGGCATGGAGGAGCTCAGCTATGAGGAAAGATTAGAGGAACTGAATTTATTCTCTCTGGAGAAGAGGAGATTAAGGGGGGATATGATCAACATGTATAAATACATCAGTGGTTCATATAGTGAACTCGGTGTAGAGCTATTCACTCTGAGGTCATCACAGAGGACAAGGGGGCACTCTTTACATCTGGAGGAAAAGAAATTTAATCTCCAAACATGGAAAGGTTTCTTCACAGTGAGAGCTGTAAAAATGTGGAATAGACTCCCTCAAGAGCTGGTTCTGGCCAGCTCAGTGGATTGCTTCAAAAAAGGCCTGGATTCTTTCTTAGATACACAGAGTATAACTGGATACTAACATTTATAGGTAAAGTTGATCCAGGGAATATCCGATTGCCTCGGGGGATCAGAAAGGAATTTTTTCCACTGCAGGAGCAAATTGCATCATGCTCTGCTGGTTTTTTTGCCTTCCTCTGGATCAACTGTGGGTGTAGGATTATAACTTTTTTTTTTTTTTAATGGCTGAACTGGACGGGATTTTTGTCTTTTTTTCAGCCAGCCTAACTATGTAACCACTTATTGGTTGGGTTCAAAGCCAATAAGTTCTTAGGAGGAACAGTTTATCAGGGTGTTTCCAATCTCCACAGAGAAACATTTAGAAAAGCGGGTGCAATGAAAAAGCCTTTACGGTCTTAAGAGCTTAACCACCTCCCGTCCGGCCGTTGTACATAAATGGCCGGACGGTGGCAGTGCAGGATCGGGTGGCCGGACACAGTGGAACACCGATCGTCATACGGGACCTCTGTGCGAGGTCCCGATCATGTGATCACTGATTGGCCAACCAGTGATCACATTCAGAGTAGTAAGCAAGATGTCACTTCTGACATCATTGCTTACTACGTGTGAAATCTGTGAATGATCACAGAGGTCACATGGTACAAGGCTATTCACAACAGCCTTGTACCATTTGACAAGCTGTGACCAATCACAGCTCACACGGTAGTTCTCAATGGCTGCAAGAACGCAGCCAGAGAGAAGGAGAAATGATTGCTTTTACAGCCTTTATGGGTGTAAAAGCAATCAGTGTAAAAAAAAGAAAAAAAAAAATCTTCATCACCCCCCACAAGTAGTACAGTGTCACCATAGTGACACTGTACTGTTAGGGTGACAGTATGTAAAAAAAAAAAAAAACAATAATATAAAAAAAATTTAAAAAAAATAAAAAAAACCTTTTTTTAAAATTATAATTTTTGGTTATAAACGAATTTAGGTTTTTTTTTTTACTAAAAAGATAACAGAATAAATTTTGGCCAAGATTTATGATGAAA